ACTTTCCAGAGTAGACCACGATTAACAGAATCATACGCCTTCGTTATATCAATGAAACACATAAACAGAGGTTTGTTGTATTCTCTCCGTTTTTCCATCGTCATCTTCAACGCACTTGATTAATCCATGATATAGGCTATTATAGCGCATCTTATGGTTGGTACGGTATGCATTTAGGAGCGACGTCCTTTATTAACTGATAGACTTTTAATTCATTATTACTTTGTAAGAACACAATATATCATTTTATAGAGCTTAAGAACCATTTAACTCGCTACTATAAATTGGATCTTGCTTGTTTTCATTTGAAAAAGTAAAGCTAATTTATATTGCTTTCGGCTTATTAGTGTTTTTGAAATGCGCTTCGTACCCTATGTATATATTCTCAATTTTCCTACACATGTTGCTTTGATAATACTATGTAGTAGAATATTAAGTATGGATAGAAATGGCTATTGAGAAAAACGTTTGATCCGGCGACCATTTTTCGTCAAAACTCAGTAATATTGGCCTTGACCATACGTCGCGCTAATGTTTTAAAATTTAAAAACACAGTTTCATGATCTGAATTTCATGAACATTCTTTTAGTCTTATTCGAAAGACGAAAGTCAGAACCTTACCAAGCGTCTCACAGAACGGCAGTGTGCTCATCCTAGCCATGAAAAAATTCCCAGAGATAAGGTATCGGGATCTTAATTAATTGGTGCTCTTAACTAACTGATTAGTGGCAATTTCATTAGTTAGTATAGGATGAAATGAGGCGTAATAGTTTGTACGAGATCAACGACTAACATTTTGTTTCATTTAAACTTACTTTTCGATTAATAATATTAATAATCAACAGCTACGGAGAAGTAATGTTTACTTTCCTTGGTTATCACTTTAAAACGTAAAAGCACCAAATTACTTCTGCGCATATTCGTGCATATTCTGATTAGCATATCCAATTTTGCGTGCAAGATGAGACTAATGCAGACTGTACTAATAAAATCTTGAAGGGTTCAGAAACTGATCGTGAACTAAACCGATGACGGGGTAGAGTAGCCGACAAAAATATTCCGACACCTAATTCTTTCCAAGTGTGGCATGTATTTTGCAAATCAATCTAGCGTTTTGTAAGAGAGATCAAAGTTCGTTTTTTTGTGTGCATTCTAACCGTTATACCTATGCGGAAAAACATGCGAATCGACATTTGAAAATATAGTTTCGTTGCTGAAAAATGTCACTTTCTTTTTTCTTGTATACTGTTAACGAATTCAGAAACGGTCTTTGAATAAAAAACTCAAAATGGGGTGAAATCCAGATCAAATTTATGCATATAGATAAAATACGATATAGAACTCAACGGACATAGATAAGAATGTCTAATACTTTGCAAATATCCCATTGCGAGCTGCAAGCAGGTATGTTTGATGTTTGCATTGCTCAGAGCAGTTTCTGCTGAGAAACAAATGAGAAAGACTAAGTTCTCCTCCTTCTCCATATATAATTCATCCTTTCTTTAGATACTGATAGCATGCGAATTCGATTTAACCGGTTCTTCTTTTTTGCCCTACTGTGCGCAATAATCATTTCGTTTCTGGCACTAAGCAAAAGAGGTTTAAAACCGTTCACCATTGTTTCCTGTTTTGAGGACAGTCTTATATCTAATAATTATCTCGGACTGAATAAATCCACTTACATACTCAATGAACATATTTCCAATAGTACAGTTGAAACGTTAACATTCGAGCGACGCTTAAGCTGCAATCTTAAGAATGAACACATGTGCCACTTCGTAAACAAAAGCCTCGTTGTTACCTTTTGGAGAGAGAGCTCACGTGAAAAGTGGGCTGCGCAAAACCTAGCTGAGTTCTTTCCACATCTCCATTTTGATCATATTGTTATGATTCATGATAAGAGTGATTGGACAAATCATACTGGTGCTAACAAGTATTTATTTATTCATGCATTTGGACAAAATAGATTCTGGCTCATAAAACGATTTATTCCTATTCATATTCTCAAAGCTTACAAATATTTATGGGTCCTTGATGATGATGCTCAACTTACTTTTCAACCAATGCATTATCAGTGCGTGGTAGATAAACTTAATATACCTTTGTCTACTCCCGGGCGACTGAATGGACCTACGATACATCCTTTTACAGCAGTGAACTCGCAGTATAGTGCAAATGTGGGTCGATGGACGAACTTTGTCGAGATTGGTCCTGCACTCATCGGTACCTCTGCAGCTTGGCAGTGTTTATGGCCTTACATCCATGCAGCAGTTGGTACAGGGTATGGTCTTGATGAGATATGGTGTAATCTTATGGCAAACAAATGCATGACACTAGCAATGGTGACCAATAGAACATGTGCTATACTCGACATATTCGGAGTTCATCATCGAACAACGCACATTCAGTCATATGATTTAGGTATCCCTGAAATAGCCGCATATCACAAATATTTTAAAGACTTTCATGCAGCTGTCAAAAAGAATTATGCAGCACTCGCTGAAGGTCTACAAGTATATTATACATGCAACACAAGCAATCGGACTTTCTGATAACAATCTTGGGATCTAGCACATAGTTTGGAAGGACCAGTCCGCATTAGACTGGAAAATGGCCCATCGCATTTTATTTCTCTAATGGTGCGAAAAATTATCAGATTCGGTAATTTACCGAATCTGATAATCGGTCGTCTCAAAGACTAAGTCCTTCATTTTTGGAAACCTTACAGCTTGGTAAAGAATGATCTAAAATAGATGAGGTTTTTTCAGGACATTTGCCACGATGCTTATATCACTACGAAAACTCATCGGAAAATTCTGGAAAACATCTCATTATGAAGGAAACACCTTTCTTCTATCAGACTGTGTGTAAGAAAAATTTTGAATGTACAGAAAAGGAGAGAAAAGTTTATGACACTAAAACATTGATAATTTTCGTCTTGAAGGAAAAACTTCAGAAATGCAAAACTTTTTGAATGAAGGTCGTAAAGTGCTGGGAGTGGTCTCATTTTGTAGCCAATCCTGTTCTCTACATTAGGCTATGCTCAGCTCAAAGTCCGAAGGATTTTCAAAAAAGAGAAGGGATTCCTTTAAGCGCTTGTAGTTGAATATATCCGACCAACCTGCTCGAAATTTCATTCCTGTCACACCATCACTAGGACCATAAAGTGAATTCCTCTCCCTAACTATCTAATATTTAGCTTAATCTATTTAATACACCATTCGATCCGCCTTCGAAAGATCTTCTGCGGAAGATATGTAAGGTACGTATTTTAAATATTTTAAAGGTTCTGTTTATTATTCTAATCATACTGACTTTTCTTTAAACCTATTAGATTGTAATAAGCTGCATCATTCAAAGGAGAGAGATCGTCGAAGTCAAATGTATTCTGCTATCTGATTGCTGAAACTGTGCGAAAATCATGAAGCAATTGTGAAACATCACTTGATATGTGTGTTATGCCGTCGGGTAAAGGCCCAGATATTTGTTAATTTGTTAAACTCCTTTTGTACAAACGATGAGCACAACACCGAAAACCCTCAGGAATATAAACACCTCCTTAGATAAAGATAGCAACTCTCCTTTGTCTAGATAGAACATGTGACTTTTTATCAATATTCTTGCAAACCATGCACAACCTAAGACGTAAAGCGAATTTCTCAGAGACAGTGTGTGACATAAGATAAAGGAATATGATAATTTGTGGTCCCATTGGCGAAATAAAATGCGATGGGCCGACTTTCAGTCTTATGCGGACTAGTCCTTGTCATATATTTTAAACCATCCGTCGTACTGGCCGCTGAGATCTCTAAGAATTGTTCCATCTATCTGGTGGGATAGGCTAACAACTGTACTAGCACGAACAGCAAATTTTTAAATATCTATAAAAAACGAAGCCGCACAAACTGTAAATATCTAAATATCTAAACGTCCAAATATCTAAATGTCCATATGTCTAACGAACGCTGAAAAATGAACCAACGCTAACTGAAAATATCCAAATATCTAAAAGCAGCCCACAAGAAATTAACGCACAAAGTGTGAATATTTAACAAGAACATAAAATGTGGACGTGCACAAACTGTAACTATCCATATATCTAAATATATAAATACCTAAACATCTAAATCTCAAACCAGCCCACAAAAAAACAATCTGCACAAACTGTAATATGTAAATTTATAGCCAGCCGATAAAATGTGAACCTGCGGAAACCGTAAGTACTAAATATCTGAACATCTAACCAGCCAACAATAAATGAGCCTGCACAAATCAGTCTTTCATTTTCTGATCTTACCAATATCATTTTCGGACTCCTCACGTCAAGCTAAGTCTAGGCATGTGGCCTAGAACCAAAAAAAGTGAACATGTTGTTAAGACGTTTTTTTCCAACAACCAGAAAACTAACAGACGTTCAACTATATATTCTAAAAGAGCGTACTCAATCCTGCACAGTTCATATTGAAATGTATTCAAATAACAGCTCTTCCGTTCTGGACACATTTTTGAAATTCTATGTAGTAGGTGATTCTATAATTTTGAACAGCACTGTATAATAGCAACTCGCTTCCCTCTCTATCCTTCCTAATAGAAGATTCGTAACCATCGACTGCCAACTAACTACTGTCGCTATCCTTGTCACGCCAGGTTTCCACTACCACCACACAAAGAGCTTTAGGATATTCAACTTCGAGCTTAAGTAAGGCCCCAGTAATTCGACGTTTTAGTGCTTTTTAGTTTTCGTTTTAAAGCACATCAGAGACCAAAACGGGTCTGGCTGACCCGAAGGTCGCGTCGAGATCGGGTCAATTTAAAAAACATTGATTCGGATCGGATCAGAGGAAAACAACTTCGGGCTTCATTCGGATCTTGCCAGTAGAAAAAAAAATCAAGGGCTTTTCTTCAATTACAGTTCACTCATCTATTTTTCAACATGTGTCTTGATATACTCTTCTGCTGCCTCATAATAATGGCTTTTGTATGTTGAAAAAATAAAAACATCAAGCAACTAAGATACTTTCAACTTCATTAGGTGTATTCATATAATTTAAACTACATTTACTTTGATCTCCCCATAATGCAAGAGGTCTTTCATCCATATTGCATATATCTTGAGCCGGGAAAGATCCATTAACACCTAAATTAAGAACTTTTTGACTACTTTTACGAAGCAAAATATGAAAAGATCCAACGTTGGAATGTGCTTCTGATAAAGAAAATTTTTACTAACGTTTAGGTTTTTGTAACGTGAGTCTATGACGATGAAAAAGCTTCTATACCATTTATTGGATGTTTGATTAATATTTAATAATGAAGTAATTGCTGAACCCTGTCGAATGAATAATTTAAATGTGATACGTTCTTTTATAATTGTCGTTGTTTGTTGTTCATCGACTGGCATTGTTCTTTTCGATTCAAACCAATCAATCAATTTAGTATCTAATTCTTGATGCCATAGTTTTGCTACACCACGTTTTAAACGCTTAAGTTGTTTACCCTTTGTAGAAAGTTGTAGTAAATGTTGATCTTGTTTGGACCATATTCTAAACATTTTTGTACTACAACCACGTTTTTCGAGTTTATTCGCAAAGTTAAGAATAAAAATTTTAAAACCAATGCGGCTATCATATTAAGAATTTTAATAAAAAGTTTTAATCAAATAATAAAAACTAAAAATTAAAATTATAATTCGATATTTCGACCTATTAATACGGTCATTTTCAAGTTTCTCACAGGATGTTACATAAAGTTTAAAACAAAATAACTGATTGTATATTATCTAGTGTTTTTCTAATCCAGGCACACACATCACAAAAAAATCTGAAAATCCATGTGCATGACAAGGAGAGAGGAAAGAAAGAGAACGAGATTATGAATGGAGAATTTTGTTATATGTACATTTTATTTTCTTATAAAGAATAGGCTGAATTGAAAAGAAAAGAAATTTTAAAAAAAATTTTAAAAACGCTAGTGTTGAGTCATGTAGAGATAAAACATACTGAAGAAAAAGTGAATTGAAGTAGATGAGAGAAATATTACTGTACTAGCCTCCAACACCTTTCCTAGGAATTTTTTTTCTATCCCAGAGATTTGACATTACCCCCTCAGAATACACGTACAGTGGTACCATTAAGCATGGGTAAGCTAGCCCGAATGACTAACGACTCCTTAACCAGCAACTTATACCTTTGTTTTTCTCGTAAAACAATTTCAAAGTTATTACCTGTAATCACATGTCCAGTATTAGAGT